GTTCCTTCCTCACCGTGGGGCTGTAGCTGGGTCAGGTCTCGCAGGATGGTCCGGAAGGAAGGTCTTCCTGAGGGGTTGTAGTTGTGACATTGTCCAATCAGATCGGCCAATTCCCTGCAGGACGGTTCCGGGAGACCCAATTCCTTCTCATAGAACCGCTCCTTCTGCGGAGGGAAGACACCAACGTTACAGGGGATCCGGTACCAGAACTTCCAGCCCAGAACCTGCCGGGAGCTCACTAGCCCGAGGGGAGGAGGAAAGCCTTCCAGGTCACTCCATGCTGCTCTACGACCCTCCAGGTCACTCCATGCTGCTCTACGACCCTCCAGGTCACTCCATGCTGCTCTACGGCCCTCCATGCTGCTCTACGGCCCTCCATGCTGCTCTACGGCCCTCCATGCTGCTCTACGGCCCTCCATGCTGCTCTACGGCCCTCCATGCTGCTCTACGGCCCTCCATGCTGCTCTACGGCCCTCCATGCTGCTCTACGGCCCTCCATGCTGCTCTACGGCCCTCCATGCTGCTCTACGGCCCTCCATGCTGCTCTACGGCCCTCCATGCTGCTCTACGGCCCTCCATGCTGCTCTACGGCCCTCCATGCTGCTCTACGGCCCTCCATGCTGCTCTACGGCCCTCCATGCTGCTCTACGGCCCTCCATGCTGCTCTACGACCCTCCATGCTGCTCTACGACCCTCCATGCCGCTCTATGACCCTCCATGCTGCTCTATGACCCTCCATGCTGCTCTATGACCCTCCAGCTTCCACCCGGCCCGATGACTGCAAACCTTCCTCATATACTCATCAACCACTACAGGGGCCACCTCGGGGACTGCTGGTGCTCTGCAAGGGCCACATGTCAGCGGAGGGGAGGGGCCAATGAAAGCCCCGCCCACTCACCTCAGGCGGGGTTCTCTCTGTCAGGGGGACGTCCCCGTTGAAGCAGATCTCCAGCAGGGTGGTCCCGAAACTCCACTTGTCCCCGGTGGTGCTGAGACTGGAGACGCTCCGGATGCACTCCGGCGCAATCCACGGGATCCGGTCCACGCGCTCTGCCAAGACACGGCGCCGCCCATTCATCAAACTTTATTCACAACACGACACAATGAGCGACACGTCTCCGCGTGCAGGAGCCCAGCAAGGACACGCCTGGAGGAGGAGGCGGCCATTTCTAACGCCGACATTGCATGTTACACGGAAGTCGCCTTCAGGGACTCTGAAAATGCCGACCGCCTG